AGAATGCGTTCAAGATTGAACGTCTCTATCCCAGGGATATTGTCCTTTTCCCTCTTCCGGACGGCTTCCAGCATAGCCTTGGCATGCTTCTGGACGTCTGGCCAGCGGGGAGATTGATCTGCACCACAATCAATACGTGATGAGTGCGAGACTAAGGCGGCACCTATTTGTTGTCGGCCGTCTGAAGATGACGTCTGTTGAGAATGGGATTTCACCCGTAAAGGCCACCCCAGCTCAAGCGGGGATTCAAAAGGGTTCTTACCTTCAGAGCCGGCCAAGCAGGAACCGCTTGCAGGCGTGGTGAACCCCGCGGCTGCTGATAAGGGGTTGACAAGATCAAGGCACAAGCTGCCGCCTACCTTCTCGAGTCGCCCCGCTATCCGCATCTGCTGATGCCCGGCTGAGGCACCAGGAGTTGATGCAGAGGTGGACTTTTTGATTTTGTTGAGAACGGTAGGGTTTTCCTCCCTAGCCCGTTTGAGTTGTTTCTCAAACGACTTTCCAATCTCTCCTCCCTGCAAAAATAACCAAAGTTAAGGATTAGCATCCGGGAAAAATGATTTTAAAGGATCAATTTGTGAAAGGGTCAGGCGTTTGATACCTTGGCCTTGACCTCAGCCGCAACCTTCTCCGCAAGATCTTTACGGATGGTTGCAGAAGACCGCTTGGGAGTTTTCTCCGACTGCAACATGTTTACTGCTTCTTCTGCAAAAAGAAAGAAATTGGTTAATATCATAAATCAATTTCAATAGAAAAATACTACAGAAACTCAGGCGCATACGTTTTGTAAACATGTGCCCTAGCCCGCAGGCGGCTAGGAAACACTCATCCCTGAACCAGGCGCTCTTGGGGATCCAGTTCTTGGAAACTTTTATTGTTTCCCCGGTTGACAGAGTTGCGTCTGTGAGGCCGAAAAAGTCTGCCTCAATTATCTTGTTAAAATCTTCCTCTGGGATCCGGGGAAGAGCGCACTTCCTGCCCAACAAGTCGAGCTTCTTATTGTACAGGCGGAATTCATAATTTTCCCGTCTGGTTGGGGCTGATATCAGGTAGAACCTGTGCTTCCAGCCATCGAACTTCGAGACCTTGTCCAAGGTCATCATATATTGAGGCTGCGTGGTTAGAGTGTACCACGCCCTCCAGCCGCCGGGCTTCTGCTAAGATAGTGCATACTAGCAAAAGCCTCCTAGCCGGGGTTAAGCCCCTGAAACTCGCAGGCGGCAACATACCCCAGAATGTTTGTCCAAGAGTTGGGGGTAAGTTGCCAGATTCCGAGGCCGTAGCCTCTCAAAATTGCCTTCACCGCCTGGTGAAGGGGAAAGCGGAGACCAGCCTTGAACGCCGCCTCATAACAGCCAAAATAGTTGTTGGCGTTCTGTTCATCGTTCTCCCAGGCGATGGTGCCATTCTCAGGCGACACCCGGATTCTATACCCGTCTCCTAGCGGGTGTATTTGGGTAAAATTCTTTAAGTTCTCCTCCATTTGGATCCGGTCTTTGGAGGAGACGTGGATGTTGAAGGGATCATCCTTCTCGTTCCACTTTTTCCTTTCTTCCTCCTCGCTATCCGGAAGTGGGGGTAAGTCGTCACTGCTCTCAGAGGTAGAGGCGGAGCTGTCGCTCTCCGTCTCCTCCTCACTTTGATTCAAGGGGGCAGAGGCGGCCTCGTCGCCGCCTTGGTCGCATTCCTCCAAGAAGGAATCAGCAGGAGTTGAAGGGGCGCGCGGAGGGGATCTCTCCAGAGCCGTCTGGCCTCCCTGACCAGACGTTTCTCCCTCAGGCGTTTGGCCGCCTGAGCCTTCGCTCTTGTAATTTGGATCAGTTGCCGTCTGCTTTATCCGAGCCATTGTGTCCTGCACAGACACGTAACTGGTCGGAATCTGAGGCAAAGGGTGGTTCCAACACCCCAAGACGACACTCCCAGTCCTAGACTCAGCCGTCCCTGGTGACCAGCTGGACTCTAACCTAGGTTGTGCCGTGTGTGTTGGTGATGCATCCATTATTGCAAGAAATATGTACAAGCGGTGAAAAAAGAAAAAGAGCTGAAAGAGGCAGAGACGGTACCTTTTGAAGAGATATCTGAAACTAGGCGAGTCCGGCTGGGTCTCTGGAAGACGAGCTTTCTTGCTTGCGCCTGACTCAAACGGGTGACGTCTGCTCTCTCAAAGTTCTCTCTAGAAAATTTTTTGTAAACGTACCAAAATTATGAGGGTAAACGACTATATATAGAGGGTAAAAACGGGGGCATTTCCGTAATTTACCCGGAAGGTGAATGGTTACTCTTTAATGGTAAAATTACCGCCAATCGGAGCGTGACACATGTCACATATGCCACGTGGCGTGCCACGTCACATCTGTGAGGGGCTGTTTAGGGTAATTTTACCCGGCCACGTGGTCTAATCAGAGGACGACACGTGTCAGCCTCAGGATGGCCCAAAATGGACCAATCTCTGCTTGACACGTGTCGCTCTAGAAAATAAGGGAAAAAAGGGCGGCCTTCAGGCCCAAATCCCGAGAAAGCCGCAAAGCAGCGCAACCCACCACTGATTAGGGTACAGTGACCTAATCAGGGGCACAAATCCCAAAGACCCTATAAATAGGGAGATGACCCTCTTTCTGGGGACACGTTTTGATCATTTATTACACATTTACTCTTTGATAGAGACATCCTGAGCTTGGAATTTGAGCAGATCCCTACCTAAATTTCCGCACCTTTTTTCTCCCTTCAAGTTTCTAACTTGTGCGTCGGAGGCGGAGCACCACCCATCTGGTGTCTCCGTTTGTTTTGTAGGTACAGCTCACCCCGGACCAGTCTTTGTGTTGTAACTCTCCCGAGGGACAAAAACACCCAAAACAGAAGTGATGAGTCATTTGGCGTGGAGTCGATCAAAAGAGGTATTGTAGTTCATCCCAATGGGGCTGAACTCTTTCCTTAATTGTTTCTTAGGTCTCTGACTATCCATGGCTAAGACTTCATTAAGATCAAAGGTACTAACGTTGTTGCTAGAGTGGGTGTTTTAAGAAGAAGAAGGATTGTCGTTTTTCTTTCCTTTCCAGCCACTGTGTTATTATTGTTAGTAGTTTTCTTGTTTTGCAAGGTCCTCTTCGATTTCAATACCTATGTCATAGATGGCCTTGAAAGTATTCAAATTATGTTGATATTTCAAATGTTCGAATACTTGTCTTGAAGGTTCTCGATGAACATCCTTACGAACTTCTTTTCAGTCAGTAGGAACTTCAACCATATTAGCGGAAGTTTCCTTCCACTTGTTGAAGAAAGAGATGAAACCTTCGTTTTCCTTTTGGTTTAGCATCTCAAGTTGTCTATGTGCAGTTTCAACTTGAATGTTGCACTTATATTTATCAATGAAAGCGTTTATTATTCCATCCCAAGTAGAGGTCTTCTCTTTATCAAGAGAAAAGAATCAATGTTGACAAACAGTTTTCAGAGATAATGACAAACTGACAAACCAAGGCGATAAGGGATATGCAGCGCCTCATGTGCGCATTATATAAATAATTGAAAAAAATTGGCAGAATTTGGCTTCAAGTGCGCCTCATGTGCGCCTAATCAAAATCACCTTGCCAACGCTTACCCCTTATCACCTTGCGCCTCAGGCGCGCTTTTTCAAACACCGAAGGGAAGGGGAAGGCTAAGGTTGGCTGTGAGAGTCTTATTTAGGTTTTGGGCTTTAATCAATGATACACTTGCTTAAGTTTTAATTATCAGTGGTACACCTATACTTGCAACTAATTAAACGTTAGTAATAGGTTAATGACTTGCAATTTTGACCGATTTTAACTCCCTTCTTAATTTTCCTCCTATATTTAAAGTAACATACCCACCTCTGTCATTATATAAACGAAGCCCTCTTAGGGGGTGTTTGGTTCAAGCATATTAGGTATAAGGTATGGGTTTGGAATGACCAAAACCCATACCTTGTGTTTGTTTTTTGACATTTCATTTTTCAAACCCATACCTCAAACCCTCAGGGTATGGGTTTTTGAAACCCAAGGGGGAAGGTGGGTATGGCTCATACACATACCTTTAGGTTTAAAATTAAAAGGAAGACTATCATTCCTAGATAAAAACCAAACACATGAAATCAAGTATCAAGTTTCAACCCCATACCACCCAAGTTTCATTCCTCATTCCAAACCCATACCATTGTTTGAACCAAACACCCCCTTATTTGCTCTGATTTATGAAGTGTCTTATTCATTTGGCTGATTTGAGTGCCAAATGAAGAAAAAGCTGCATAAATAAGAGCAAATGAGGGGGCTTTGTTTATATAATGATAGAGGTGGGTGGGTTACTTTAAATATAGGAGGAAAATTAAGGAGGGAGTTAAAATTGGTTAAAATTGTAAGTCATTAACCTATTACTAACGTTCAATTAATGGAATGCTTCTTGTAGTTATTTATTTATTTATTTTTAATACAAAAACAGTACTGCTTGCTGCAGTTAATTAGTTGAAAGTATTGGTGTACGGTCGATAGTTAAAATCTAAGAAGGTGTATCATTGATAAAAGCCCAAACCTAGGGTGTATAAATGATAATTTTCCTTTTTTCATTATAAAAAACACCAATTAGAAAGCGACACCTGGAATGTCTCCCTCAATTTGTTACGAATCTAACAAAACTGGTGAAGGGTCTAGTTTGAGAAGATATAGGTAACAGGTGGGATTGCTTTGCGATTACTCAAATGTGGGCTTGTTATGAGAGGACCACGCAAATGTGGGATCATTAGTTTTAATTTTTACAATAATATATTTGCAATTTTCCTTTTTTGGACATCCTAGAAGAATGCTCTTCTACATTTATGGTCATGTGGCCCATTAAAAAAGTGCGGTCCCACTATTTCACATTTTCATTTATTCCACTTAACCAAAAATTATATTGTGTACATTATACTTGGTGCATACTTTTTGAAGGAAGTACTATAGTGAATATAAGAAAACATGATTTTGATTATGTGTATTGGGTAGATTAAGCAACATTTCAAGGACCCTGACTGTCAGAAGCCTTGTGTTAGTAAGGTTTGTTGTTTATTGAATGGTGGAGCACCTTAAGATCTGTCTTTTGTATGCAAATTGAGCTTTAGATGCTTGGTCCTTGTTTCTGAGTGGTTGTTTCTGGTGGGAATGCTTCTAGTGCTAATGGCGTCAAAGGCATAATTATGATATTTTTTAGGCTACGGTTGGAAATTAATGAGATTAATGTTCTGGGGTACTGTTCTCATCAAATATGTTAATAGGATAAAGTTTTGTGTCAATACTCAGGAGCTTTTAAGGAGTTGTTTGGCTTTAGCTTGCTCATTGTATTACTAGATGATTCTGCCACATCGCAATTAAAAAGCTAAATCGGATAGTGGTGGAAAGGATGGTGAGTATGAAACACTGTAAATTGTCCAACAGTTACATTCTAGAATTCAGTGTTTGTATTTTCATCAAAATCGTAGTAATGATTTTATCTATCCATCTCACATGCCTTTTGATCCATAGCTATACCTTTTTTTGTCTTCAGTTGTTGAGATTGATCATGATGAGAGACCAGAAGATGGAACTTTGGCACCTTCTTTGTCAGTATGTCGATCTATAGCTCTGGAGAATTGATATTCAATAGATTCGAAGGTTTTCAGAGGATCTTATGTATTTAAAAGTGAAACAAGTCATAAAGAGAGCACAACAAACCTTTTCAACTCACAAGTTCTGGCTGATTTGGATATGAGGATTATCTTGGTTGCAGTGCAGCTGAAGATTGTCCATTGCTCTTGGATGAGTTTTCCCTGAATCCTCGTTGAGTAAGCTGACCTCCTTTTACACCCACTTCAGCAGAGAGCAGAGCAGTGAACCAGCCAGTTTGATGAACAAGTTACACATGCAATAGCCAATGCTCTGGAAAGTAATAAGGTATTTTTTCCCTTCTTTTCAGTTAAATACTACTACTAGTCCCCGACGGTGAAACTTCTGACGAGAAATGTTTCTGTACAGTTGATGAACTCCAGCCGAATTCTCTGTATATACCTTTAAATTTATTAATTTTTTTATTTTTGGTGGATGTCTGCATAATTGTCATATAGGTCTGATTGTTTATGTTATGTGGAACCTTGTTATTGAGGCTTGATACTCATAATAATATGAACTGATAGCCTGATAATGCCTAACACTTTATAACATGTATAAATAATTAGAATAATTAAACATTACTAACCCTGCTTATAATTCTGGTATACTGGAATGTAGGTTTTGTGTAGAATTTCTGATTATAGATTAGGATTCAACATTGTTTTATTTACTTTTATCTTTGAGTTTGGCTATGATCTATAATATAGATATGCATGTCAGGTTTTTATGTACTAAATTCAGATTACTTGTCAGAGTTAATGTCATGAATCTGCAGTGTCTTTTGGTCCTATTAATCTTAACAGACCCTAGGGAGCCTTAAATAAAAGTGTGCTCATTAATTTATTTGGGCTACTCAACATATTAGTCTCTTTTATACTAAAATTAGTTTACTACTCCCTGTGTGTGTGTGTGTGGCTCTTTTATAACAAAATTAGTTTACTACTCTCTTTGTGTGTGTATGTAACATATTAGACTCTTTTATTATAAAATTAGTTAACTACTCCTGTGTGTGTGCATGTGCTTTTCAATAAACTATTAACTATTATTTTTATTCTTTTTAAAAAAAATTTAATCTTGCAAGTACCTCACTTCTTATTATATTAAAGTCACTTAAATCATCTCAAACTATGTGCCGATCAAAGTAACTCTTTAAAAAAAGAATAAAGATATTAGTGTTTTTTTTTTCTTCTTTTTTTTTTGCAATGAAGGTAGATATTTGGTGTGCATATGACTAAAGATGGGTCACTACTCAATGTAGGGATGTAATCTAGATTCAAATCGGATACTTGGACTACTCTTCATATGCTCCACTGTTTTTTGTCAGACTTTCTTTTGATTAGGTCAAGGTATTAACGTTTATAAGGGCTTATTTGGTTCATCTTATTTTGATCTATATTTATTTTATTTGAAACAAAATAAGCTCTAGATTGGATAAGTTCAAAGAAGAAAAAGCTCAGATAAGTTAAAACAAACTAAGTTCACGTAAGTTCAAACAGTAGAAGTTCAGAGAAATAGGCGCTTTATTTTTAAAATTTCTGGAGTTCCAAATGCGTGGAATGTAAGATTTGAATTGAATTTTCCACTAATGCTGAGAGAGTAGAAGGGAAAAGCTCGACCTCCATAAGGGGCGGAAAAGTAAGAGATGTGAGGCTTTTGAATTTTGACCTTAGGAGTGGCACTGAAGGAGACCTTTGAGAAATCCCATGAACCATTGGAGAGCTTGTCAGCAAGTAGGAGAGAGGAGTTAAAAGGGAGGGGTGGTCCATAGATGATTGAGCTAAGATTGCCTAACACCATCCAGTTGTTATACCAGTACTTTTTTTTTTCCTTCCTTAGCCAGTGTCAACTCTGTCAAGGGCACAAGTGCTGCAAAAATTCTCTGATGATTTCAGGAATAAATCCCTGCATCAGAATCTACATGGGAATTTAAATTGATACGATAATACATTATTTTGCAAAGATTTTTTTTTTTCTGTGATTTTTTTTGTTATAATGTATCCAATTCTAAAGGAAAAATGTTCCAACAAATTAGTTTTGAACTTTGTGCAATGAGAATAAACGTGGCTGTATCATATTGTTTCTATGGCAGGTAACACATAGTAGCTGCTCTTAAGCTATGGGATGATCAGCTGTGGGCTGTGGCATTGACTGATCGTGTGATTTTACTTCCAAGTGGTATAAATGCAATATGCATTGCTGCAGTACTGGGTATAAAGAATTTGCTGTATTTACTAGAATTCAGATTTGGCAGGTAAAGGTAATAATAATTCCTGCTCTTGAAAACCCTGAAGCCAATTAGTCTTGCTGATATTGCAACAATATATGAAATATGCTTCTGCAATCAAAAGCAGGAGATGAAAAGCATATGCTGTAGGAATCAGCAAAGCCTGTCTTTGTTTTGGTGTATCTCTAACACCAGTCTGCCTTACATTGTTTTAGATAGTAGTTCCTGCTGTATCAGTCAAACTCAGAAATAAATGCCAGTTATTATTGGTTACAAAATCATCATGCTTTATCCTCAATGTAAAATAAAGAAACCAAAAGGTTTAACAAACATACTGCTCTAAAGACTATGCCAAAGAAACTAATGACCAGCCTCAAGCAAACACGTACTTTATCAGCAATAATACAAACCGATATAAATAAGGGAGTAGTAAAATCAAAATCAGTTATTTTTAATATTAAGAATTATGTTTTCATTTAGGTTCTAAGTATGATCTGAGGAAGTAGACCGCCTTGATCGTGCAGGAGAAGCAGGCTGAGAAGCCCTTTTCCTAGCTGAACTAACAGAGACTCTGTCGGGTGTGACACTCTTCTCCCTCTTGCATTCACCTCCAAATCGTGTTCTAGCCTTTTCAGATTCAGTGGCAGCCATATAACTTGGAACAGTTTGAGAACTCGCTAGGCTTTCATCATCCCTAACAGATGAACCTGTTACACTATTTCTCCTTGATTGTTCTGATTGCATACTCAGTGTGCTTCTTGCATCATCTTCTGGACCCCAAATGCTCTTCCTTGGGCTCATCTTTGGGCTTTGGGATCTCAAGTTTCTGGTTGCTGCAGTGGACTTTGAAGGAGCTTTGGAAGTGGACAAGCGACCACCAGTTGAAGAACGGGATTGTTTTCGAATGGATGTTGGGGAAGGCTTTTCACGGCCATAATAGGCTTTTGTAAGCTCATGATTCCCAGACAAAGTGTTCTTTGAGGAGGCCATAATACGAGGGGAGTTATCATTGCTAAAGTCTTTCTCAGGAGTGGTTGCGGTCTCCCATGGTTTAGCAGCTAACCATCGTTCTAACCAGCTCCAGCCCCAGTGGGGATTGTTTACATCCATAAACAACGTGTGCGCAGACATTGATGATGCCTTCCATGCTTGCTGTACAGCATATGATTTCATTTAGCTATGTTGACAAACTAAGCTATTGGATTGCTCTTATTCTCCAATTAACTACCTTACAAATTACCGCTACTTTGCAAATTATCAAGGCGTTCTATTTTTATCACTCTTCCTAAGTAAAAGAAAAAAAAAAAACAATTTCTAAAGGACATGAATGTGATAAATTTTGGAGTTGTTTTAAAAAGTGCTATATAGCTCACTCTAGAAATAAATTTGAATAGAAGTATAAAGCACAAAGTACAGAAGTTATAAATATATAAATGAACCAAAATTTTTTTTATTAATTGAACCAAGTTTGAGCCTAGCTCAATCAAAAAACAATCTTAGTTGTACGAAAAGAAGACACCTAATCATGAAGTAGTTTACATCCTTGATAAATATGCTTTTGCATAATGACATAGGTGAACCTTGTGTACATGACTCACTAACTCCTCTCCATTGTCAGCGCGAAATAAATTTTGCATTTTCTACCCTGAAATTCTTCATTTTCTTTGGGCATTGTTGCTGGGCATGTAAGCGGGAAAGAAGTCTAAGTTGTTACCTGATGGGTAAATGCATAAGCCAGAGTCCTTTCTCTTCTAATGGCAGCCTCATGTCTGCTTTGCAACTTTGCTTCGATCTGTTCCTTTGTCTGTCTACTGCTGTCCCAACCATCACCGTTTTGCTGCAACATGCTCAGCACATTTTGTCATCAGCATAAGTACTATAGAAACAAGAAAATTATTGTAGTTTGATTCAAAATTGCAGAAATCACAGTGATGGATTAGCATACTTGTGATTTTTCAAGTTCCTTGGCTTGCTCTTTTGCATATTTCTGCTGAATCTGTTTCTGACGAGCCAGGTTTTCCTCAGCCATCTTCTGTCTTCTCTCATGTACCTGAGACTGCACTCGTGCTAATGTTTGCATTGACTTCAGAGTGTTTGTAGTCTGACGTTTGATTGCCTGTCCTTGCATTACTGCTTTCAACCTCATCAGCCCTCGCAGAGCACGTAATGTTCTCCTCCCCTATAAAAAAAATAAAGGCAATGAAAAAAAGTTCACCATGATATGAAGCGTTTTTATTTATTTTTTCCTTACATGACATGACTCACTCCACCTCGAAAAAGATACATTTCTATTTTGGTTCGTGCAAAAAAAAAAAAAAAAAAAAAAAAAGCAAGTTAAACTTTGAATATTACCATAATGATACCTTCATAAGAATTTCAGTGATAGACCAAGTCATTATAATGATGAATATGGTGATGTATAAGTTTAAAAACCCTTGAAAATGATCTTAAATCAGATATGGCTTATTACATAATTTGAGACGAAGAGAGTAATACTTAATATGCTTACAATCTAAACAAAATTACCATCTTATTTACCCTGAGTTCTGTGATCATAATAATTTTAACAAAAAACATACCATGTATCCTCGGAAAGCTGTTTGAATCTTAATGGCTGCAGCTTCCTCCTTAGACTTTCCAGAAACAGGTGTAGTAGTTGCTGTCAGACGAACAACCTCTGCAGCAGCCTGAGCAGCTGCAACAGCCGCCTCAGCAGCCTTAGCAGTTGCTATAGCAACACTATAGGCATGTTTCGTCTGTTCCTTATCTGCAGCACCACTTAATTTCTGTTCTTTATCTGCTGCACTACTTACTTTTGCTGGTTCAGCAGCAGGATCAACCACCGGTGCCACAGTTGGCTGAGGAAGTAACGCCATTGTTGCAGGGGCAGTGTCTGTTGGTGTTGTGTTAAGACCAGACCTCTTTTTCTTGCTAAACCATTTCTTCTTTGATTTTCCTGACTCCTAAAAATTAAAGTAGAAAACATCAATCTTGTAACATTTGTAATAATCCATTAATAAGGTTGACTAACTGGTTTATCATGACGAGTAAAATAAGACAAACCTGAACAATCTCTTTCACCTCTGGTCCGTTGAGAGCTTTTTTCATTGAAGAGAACCAGTTACCTTTTCTACCCATTTTTGCATCCGTTGATGTAGTCAAACACCTGGTTGTAATACAAAAGTTAAACAAATTTGTTGATTATTCTGTAAAAATCCAAAGAAAACACACTTTTAATCCTAGATCATCCACCCAGATTTAAAAAAAAAATAAAATCCTAGATGAAACATAACCAATAAAAAACTGTCATATGATCATTTTGATGAATTTTTTTTTCGACATTTTGGTATCTCAAAATCTGAACATAAAGGTTATGTAGTGCATACAAATTTTCTGTTTTTATTTTCAAGAACAACAAAATCAAATTACCTTAAATTACACAGCCAAAATTCTTTAGTGCACCCCATTTAAATTTGCACCCTACTAAAAAGACACAAAGATTCAAAATCTAGTTGATCGATCTTAACAAAAAACACTACAACAATCATGCAGTACAACTAAAATATTTCATGGAAAAATACAAATTTTATACAGCAAAAATAGAAGAAAGGTATATAAATAGGTAGCAGAGAAACTGAAAATATATACCAGGTTTAAAAGACTAAAACTTGTAAAGAAGCAAAGTTATGATTTGATGTGTTTTGACAAAGAGGGTATGAAGAAAAGTTATTGCAGGCCAAGAAGAAGGAAAAAAAAGAGAGGAATAATATTGAAGAATTCAATGAAAGAATATTAGTATTAGTATTTGAGTTTGATGATAATGAAAGGGTTTTGTGTTTGTGGGGGGCAAATAACAGTTAGTTACCAACTTAGTCGTTGCTTCATTGCATAGTGTTGTCCCACTACTTTCTTAATATTTCTAGGGGGGTGGGGGAACTCCATCTTCAGCAACATTATTTTATTTTCTATCCAAAATAAAATAAGAATTAGGCTTATCCAAAATAGAAAAAAAAAAATTTCTCAAAAAAAATAATAAAATAAAACATAAATAAAAAAAATTGAAAAATCAAATATTGATCCGTTTTATTCTAATTGTCTCATTTAAAATCTTGCACAGTTTTTCTACGATTCGGGTGGTTGACATGTGAAATAAATTACTATAGAAAGTTGTAATTCATATTAAGTTGTTTCCTTAATGAAACTCATTGAACTTGTTAAACAATGAAAAGTTGAAATTTTTCCATAAATTTAAATTGACTAAAAGGACCTTAGTAGTAATTTACTTTCTATATTTTGTGGGAAGTCCAACTCCCTCTATTTTTGCGTTTTTGTGTCTATTAGCCTTCCACTTTTGTTTTGTCAACCAATAAGCACTATAATGCATGGGTTTTAAAAAATATACGTATATGTACACATACAAATTTAAAAATTGTAACATTTGGAAACTAAAAATCTAGGTAAATTTAAGAAGGTTACACATGAATATATTATGAAGTATAAAGAAAAACACATATATAATCCATTTTTTAGGTAAAAAAAAAATGTCACACAATACTTTATGTATAGGCTAAATCATCAATATCTATAACGGGCCCGTAGAAGAATATATCCCTAGACTCTAGTGTATGTAGCTCTACCTACACTCCCTCTAAAACGATGCGTTTAGCCTCCTATTAACCCAGTATCTAAACCCATCAAAAAGACACACTTCAATCATACAACCATCGAGATCGCTCGTCGACAATGAGATTTCTACCAAGTAATGATCTAACAATTGAACACTTCCCAAACTACCTCCATGGTTCTGCATTCCAAAACCTCCAACGCTAAAGTCGTTGTCGGCGACGATGGCGGAGATGAATAATCAATTAATCGTGTATGTGACTTAAAAGTGTGTGATTTGTTCTTCTAATGGTCATTTCCTTGGAAAATTCAATCAACAAAAATTTCATTTATTGAATTTCCCATCAATTTTTTGCCCCTCTTAAATTTTTTAGTCTCTAATTCTACTTTCGCTTTCTAATTGACAGTTATCATAAGCATAACTTCTTTTTTTTTCTTTCCCAAATCATGAAAGAAAAATTATTAAAGTAGTTTTATTTTTATTTTATTTTTAAATTTATTAATGTTCATTTTCATATTGATAAATGATCACTTTATTCAATATATATTTATTGCGATATTGATATATACATGTTGTATATTCATTTTCGTATTAATAAATGATCATTTTTGTATTGATAAATTTTCATTTTTATTTTGATAAGTTTATTATTTCAATTTTGATAGACATTCATTCACGTTTTGTAAATAATGTGTATTGATTGTTACAAATACGTACTTTTTTTTATGTATAATATGCAGTAGTAAGTAATTAGTATATGTAGTACTTACTACTTAGCTTGCTTGTATCGTTTGTATGTCACACCTAACATAAAAGTATATTTTATGCAAGCAGCAAGATACTAAAAACATTGAATAGAGCTTTATATGTTTAGCCACATATATTTTTTAATGCTCATTAATTTTTATGCCATGTTCATTATCATTCCAATATATGCTCATTTATATATGAGTAGATGCTCATTTACATATTATGTTGACCATGTCAGTTTCTATACTCTTTTAGGTTCATTTTTATGTATATATTGTTTTTGTTTTTTTTTTTTTAAAAAAAAAAAAAATCTTTTTCATGTGTTATTTTTCCTATTATATATATATAGGAACTAAGAACTAATCGGGGCCGTTAGAGCAGAGAAAAGAGGCGCGTGATCTAACGACCCAAAATAAATCAGACAAATTTAATACAACACGCAAATTCAGGCGCCATTTTCTCTCTCCACTCTCTCTTTACTCTCGCTGTATTTTCGGCATTTTCAATTGCTCAAGAGCTTCGAAAACCGCCATAACCATCAAGAAAACTGCTCAATTTTTCTATATAATCACAATTTTAACTTGTATTGTATACATATTTCATTTTCGGAACAAAAAATTTCAAAAATTGGCGAATATTAGGTATTATATCAAAACTTCGATGTTCATACTTTTTCGTCTATTTTTACTAACAATTTTTTACTTATATTTGTGTTTTTTGCTAGATTATGTTAATTTTGAAGTAGCAAAAGTTGAATCCGAGTACTTCGAAGTTCAATTTTGGTGTTTCTAAGTTCGATTTCTTCATAATCAGGTATTTTAACAATTTAGTTTGTTTTTGTTCAAATTATGTTTGATTTTCTTATTGTTTCTGTTTATTTTTTTTATTTTAGATTAAAATCGACATGCATGAGAAAACAATTCGAAATTGAGTCAAAGAATTCTGTATAAATTTATTTTTTTACGAATTATTATCTAAATTTATATCAGGTTAATTTTACAAATTTTGGTATAAAATTATAACAAAGTTTTTTTGAACGAAGATTCATAAAACTTTAGATATGTTTATATTTATGAACTTAAGAAATTTTACTTCAATTGCTACTAATTTAGAATAATTTTGGTTAATTTATGAGTAATTGTTAATGTAGTTAAAAGAAATCAAATAAAAGTTGATAAAAAAAATTTAAAGTCAAGAAAATACAATCGGATATTTGGAGTAGTTTGTTTAGAATTTCTATAGTGAAATTTGATAGTTAGATTGTTTGTTTATAATTTGTAGTTAGATTGTTTGGCATAATTTGATAGTTAGATTTTTTTGATTTTAAGTTGTCCAATATGTTATCATTGTGAACCCTGGTTTCCCTGGCTTGCTACTACTTTGCTACACTTGCTGTGTCACCTACTGTTGCTATGGTCTTTCTGGTCGTTTGCAGTTATACATGTTGCTATTGAGTTCTTAGCTAAAAGAAATAAAATAAAAGTAGATAAAAAAAATTTCAAAGTCAACAAAATAAAACCATATGTTTTGAGTAGTTTGTTTTGAGTTTCTATAGTTTTTTACAAGTAGATAGAAATTGACTAAAATTAACTATAAATTGATTAAATGTTAATGAATTACTGTGAGATCTAAGCTATATTGGCTTGTGTATAAATTAATAAATTGATGTGACTTTTGTATTATGCCTTGTGTATAACATATCAAAAAAAGATGATGATCCTTGCTTATAACATTACCATATAGTTTGAAAGTATGATAAATTATTGTTTTGAATTGAAAACAAAATAAAATGAAAAAAACTACAAAGAAAAAACCACCAACACAACTAGTTCCAGCAAAGAAAATTCCTGCAGCAAAGAAGGCTAATGCAAGTATAAAAACTACTACAGCAAAGAAATCTCCTGCAGCCAAGAAAGTTCCTACTACATAGAAGGTTACTGCAAGTAAAGAAGCTACTGCATCCAAGAATTCTCCTGCAGCCAAGAAAGTTCTTGCTGCACAGAAGAAAAGTCCAAAGAAAGCAGCAAATTCAGATCAATCTCCAATTAAAGGTATAAAATATTGAAATACAATAATTATTTGATAAAGTAAATAGAAACACTTATAAAGTAAATCATTTATCTTTATATGTCTATGTTACAAATTTCATGATGCATAATATTACATGATTGAATATAAAAGTAAATGGTTAGTTTAATAAAGTAAACAAAAAAGTTTACAAAGTTAATATATATGTTTTTAAAGTTTTTTAACATGTGTATACTTATAAACTGATTGTGCAAATTAATTGCATTAGGTACTCAGCTCAAAGGATTTCAAAAACGCAAATATTGATAAAGAGAAGGATTAATGAACTAGAAGCTTCAAAAGGTTCATAAAAGTTTATTAAATTAGAATTTAAAGTTAGATTCATATGTTTTGTATAAAATTTATAAAGTAAATTAATGTATTACTCCAAGGTATAAATCTTAAAGTAAATGATTCGTTCTATAAAGTAAATAGAAACTGTTATAAAGTAAACAATTTACCTTTATATGTCTATAATGTCAATATAAATATTATGATGCATAATAATACATGATTGATTATAAAAGTAACTGATAAGTCTAATAAAGTTAATAAATGTTCTTATAAAGTAAATATATATGTTTTGAAAGTTAATTAACATGTTTTATATGCTATGAAGTAGGTTTTATCCTTTTCTTTGTTCCTTTAAAGTAAATGATTCATTCTATAAAGTAAACAGAAACTGTTATAAAGTAAACTATTTACCTTTATATGTCTGATGTTAATATAAATATTATGATGCATAATAACACATGATTGATCATAAAAGTAACTGATAAGTGTAATAAAGTTAATAAAAATGCTTATAATAACACATCAAATTCTCAACTAGTTTCAGAAACACAAATGCTAATGGAAGATCCTAAAGTACAAAGCGCTATGGATGAAATAGTCAAGCTTTATGATGATTTAAGAGATGAATCTAGTGTGTTTATGTCAACGTGGGAGGAGCAACATAAAAATTCTGAAGTTGATCCTGAAACTAATCAAGAGGATGCACGTGATCCTAAAACTATCAATCTGAATGATGAAAATGAAGATTTGGAAAAGGATCTGGATGACAAAGAGGAGGATGAAAACAAAGATAAGGATGACAAAGAGGAGGATGACAACAAAGACAAGGATGACAAAGAGGAAAATGAAAACAAAGAGGAGGACGAGGAAGAAGACACTAGTAGAATAAACTTAATGGGCAGCCACAAATGGCAAGCGGTTATTGAATTCCGCTTGCCAAAATGTAAATGGTAAGCGGTTTTGGATGAACCGCTTGTCAAAATGCTAATGGCAAGCGGTTTTGGATGAACCGCTTACCAAAATGTAAATGGCAAGCGGTTTGAGCATTGAACCTTTAGAGGAGGAGGAGGATGAAGAAGAGAAGGAGGAAAAGGAGGAGGATGACAATAAAGAAGAGGAGGAGGAAGAAGAGGAGGAGGAAGACAACAAAGAAGAGGAGGAGGAAGAAGAGGAGGAGGAAGAGGAGGAGGAACAGGTGAATGAACTAGAGAAGGAACAACTGAAAAAGGAAGATGAAAAGTAGAAAGAGAAACAAGAGAAGGAGCCTAATAACAAGGCATTTGATGTTGATCTTAGTAATGTAATAAGCTCAGTCACTGAGAGAATCCTAAAGGATATTCTTGTTGAAGAAAACCAACCAACACTTACCGAGAAAGCAATAGAA